ATGGCTTGTGTATATCGTATATATATATATACATATATATTATTCATACCTTCGATGTATAGGACGCAAGCAGATTTTGACATCAAATTTTGGGGTAAAAAAGTGCATCTTATACACCGAGAAATACAGTAATTAGAAAGCTCGTTAAGTTATGTTAGTTTTAAGACATTATATTTTTTATGTGTGATAATATTTTATTTTTTAAATTGCATATTCAAAATAAGAATTTAAGACCACCAACATCTTTCAAAAAAAAAGTAGGCCTATAGTGCTTTGTCTGCCAATGGCAGAAAGACAGAGTCCAAACATAAGTATTAAGTGTCTTAAAGTATATGTATATTTTTATTTATTGTTATAAAAGTAACTAAAATGTAAAAATTAGAAACTTATTAGGTTATATAAAACACTTAAATGAAAAAAAAAGTTAAATATAAAATTTCTAGTTATACTCTATCAAAGCACACATATCATGAGGCATGATTGTTGTTTGATCATGGCATGCTTGTAACTTGATTGTTTGTTTAGACAATAATATCTAGCTGTGATAAATAGCTTGTGATGTACTCTGAGACTGTGCAGCTGTAAAGCAATAAAACTAAATGAAACCAGATTTGAAAAGCCTATTAATTTTGGCTGTAAGAATATATAGTATGTAATTATCTGTTACAATGTGCAATCATTATAGAAATTAAAAAGGGTAATTTAGATTTATTTAACATTTTTCAACTTTTCATTTTACCCTACAATTGCTGATTTTTACTACAGTTAGTGTTGCGTTAGAAAAAATATAGATAAAATATGAAATTTTACCAAAAAAACATAGGATATTTATTTACCAGGCTCTAGAGGTTATGCAAATGAAATATGAAACTGTAGAACGAAAACAAGTATTTATTTTAATTCTTCACAGGAAAATCACCTTTTTACTCAGACTGAATCAGAATGGTACAGTAAATTTACAGACAAATCTCTTGGAGAAATACTCTATTAAAAATTCTGATTTTTTTTAAACAGACTTTCATGTTTTTTAAAAGCTTGCCAAATTTTTTGAAGATACAAATAATAAATTCAGAATTATAGTAAACATTAATTCTCCAATATGGATACTCTGTGCACGTAGGAATGATAAGCAAATTTTTAGAGTATTAGTAATGGGTTTTTTGAAGTATGAAATCAAAATTTCTCATTTTAAACCCAATTAGGATAATGCCATTTTTAAAACCCTTTCTGCACATGTCACTGTGTTACATTCAAAATTTAATTAAATCACTTTAATATCAATTTATTTTAATGAAATTATTATTATCAAGTATGTTATAATTTAAAGTTTTATATTATCTAAGTTTCTATTCATTTATTTCAAAAGAAACCTCTAAAACAATATATAAAATAGCAGTTCTTGTTCTCATATAACAGGCTTGTGGTTACAAATCTCAACTTTAAGACCTGGTATAGAAGAACTGTAATGTGTGTAATTTTAGACAAGATGTTCAAAGTACAGCATATTTAAATTGTTTACTAGTAATTCGAGTACATTCTAAGAACTTGTCCCAGAGGAAACCATTGTAAAAATTCCTCAGTTCAAGATAACCATCCCCACTTGTCAAGTAAAGGCTGTGTTCCTAATTGGCAGTTTTAACATAAATTACTATAATCAATAGAAAGAGCAGATTTTCCTCTATAATTTCTCAGGGTTATCTTGAAACAGCAGTGGTTTAACTTGGGTTGTGAATGGAAATATTACGTCAAAGTCCATTGTTGAATATCGTCTTCACCAGCACTTCACTATTTTTTCTATTCTTATACATATTAGTTTGATAGACAGTTAAATTGTATTTAGGTTTTACTTTTATATTTTAGTTAATTATGCATTATTTGTGTTTTAAAATCCATATTTGAAAGCTTCAATAAGTTTTGTAAAATAACGAAAGCTTTGCTCCACAAGGCTTATATTACCAAGCGTGTAAAAAAAAATTTTTTTTGCCTGTTGATGTGTGTCAACATAAATAATAAATGGTAAAGAATAGGAAAGGAAAATAGAAAATTAAAATTTAAACTGTTAATGAAAATTTAAACACATTAAATTATGCATATGACCCCAAGAAGAAACTTTAAGACTATTCTATGAAAGTAAGTACATATTTCCATTTATTTGCACTGTATGTTAATGTTAATAGCTATAGTTAGTGATATAGTAGAGAAAATGGAAAATAAAATATAAATATTTACTTTTAAAAACTTTGATATTAATTTAAAAGGTTTAAACATTATGCAAATGAAATGTGAAACTTTAAGATAATAAATAGTATTTTTATACTCAAAATGAAAATTGCCTTGCAAGTGAACTATTCAGAGACCAAGTGTAAATAACTACATTAGATAACTAATCTTTATTTTTCTGAAACTACATATTTTTAAGAAAGTTCTTGTCAAATTTTATCCACTAGTTTCATTTTTGTAAAGAAATTTTATGAGACTTACTTAACCTAGTAGCAATCTTCATATATCGTTTTGATAGGATTAAAGAATAAAAGTAACACTGAAAGAATTTCTCACAAAGTTCTGATAATTTTAAAATAATGAAACTAGTAAAAAAAATAATATCTTAATAAGGATATTCCTCTTTTCCATGGAAACAGGGCCTCCACCATCACATATCCATCACCAGCAGGGTCCTCCACCACCATCACCACAACCTGGACCTCCACCAGTACTTGGCCCCCCAGGAATGCCTCCACCAAGAGGCATTCAAAGACCTCCACCACCTTGTCCTGGAGTTCCACCTCTAGGACCACCTGCAAACATCAGAGTGGTAAGATTAAATTCACACTTCTTCTTAGTTGTCAAGTATTAATATTTTTGCATTTAATAGTTGCTGTTGTATTCTTTTAGTGCCATATTTTAAAATTTTAGAGATTATACTATTTGAAATATTTGCTATGATTGAATAAACTAAAATCATTCAATGTCAGTTTCTTAAATGTTTACAGCTGTTGAAGGAAGCAAATATTTGAGTATGTGTACTACATTAATTAGATACCTGATATAATTAACATTATCTTGGGTGGAATTTCAAATACCTGTCTCTCTTTATTATTAGAAAGTCTGTTTGAAGTGCAAGAATAAAGCTTTAAATCCCAGTTAAGTTTGATTTTAATTTTTCATATAAGAAAAACAATTACTTGAACAGTGATTACAGGCTTTCTGGAAATCTCTAGGAAACTGCCTTATGTCACCATTATTACATTAAATGCATTTTGTTTTTAATTTTGGAGCTTGGTATAGCCTGGTGGTTAGGGCACTGAATTCACAATCTGTGAGTCACATGTTTGAATTCTGTCACCAAACATATTTACCCTTTCATGTGTAGAGGCATAATAATGTGACAGTCAGTCTCGCTTTTTGTTGGTAAAAGAGTAGACCAAAAGTTGGAAGTGAGTGGTTTTGAATAGCTGTCTTCCCTCCAGTCTATCACTTCTAATGTTGACTCGTTTCACTTCCTCTATTCTAACATTTCTAATTTAGGGATGGCTAGCACACAGAGCCATCAAATGGCTTTGTAGCAAAATTCAACAAATAAATAAACAATTGTTGATTTTATTCAAGTAGATAATATGCTGCATGTCTTTAAAATTATGAAATTGTTTATAAGTGTTTTAGTTTTAAAAGTGATTTGAAGAAACACTTGATATAGCCAGCTAAGTGGAGATTTTTTGTTCATGGTTTAGCCTCCTCCCCATGGTCTACCACCACCTGGACCCAGAGGTCCTCTTCCTCCTGATACTCGAGGACCACCACCACCACGAAATGAATGGGATAGGCCTCCAGGTAAAGAGCTTTTTGATAACTCTTTTTAAAGTGTTTATAGCTGTTGTTTGTTATTTTGTTACAAAACTGGATTTTTGAATAGATTGTTAACAACTAGTATGCATTTTAAGTTTTAATCTGATATTTTTTAGACTTTCCGATGAATTTTTAAACATCAAATTAACTTCATTTTCATCATATTAGATCTTTGAAATTTTGTGATTATTTAACAAAAGAGTTATTTAAAATGATTCATAAAAGAAATCTTAATGTGGAAGAGGTGAACTATGTTGTTGATCAGTGTGAAAACAATCTCCTGTGCAGTTATGTTTAAAGTTACTCAGAAATGTCCAAAATGAATATATTTGGGAAGGACCAGTATTTGCCATGTTATGGAAATGTGGTTTGAAGGCTGTTGAGATTTATAGAAACTTTTTGGTTAGGATATTATTAGGGCTGTGAGATAAGTCATGGAAATGTTAAATTTGAAGGATTGCTAAAGTGTTTAGTCTGGTAGATTTATGGCATGAGTCAAAATATCCAGATTATTAAATTTGCAATACATGTTAATTATTTTGTGACATAGGGTCTTTGTTGCAATATAGTTTTTACAAATTCTGCACAAAATTATTTTCTAAAAATAGCTCTGTACCTGTTGACTTCAGTGGGTCAAGCACAGTTATGAACTTTCTGATTTTCATTTGTTGCAGGGGACAAGCAGATACAAAACTATTTTGTGTTTGACTAGAAATACTTGGAAATATTTATTGATGTTCCTGTTGTCTTTAAAATTTCAGATTAGTGGCTTAAAAGTTTCAAGATCTAGCAGATATATAGGAATTTTTGGGTTTGAAGATTACTAGTAGGAATTGCTAGTATTACAAAACTTTTAAAGTACTAATAAAAGTACAGCTTATACTACCAAAGTTTTGGAAAAAATTGTTGAACATGGTAACTTCTAGTAAAAAATAGGCATTTGACGAACAATACATCCCCTTGCAGCAGCATCTCTACCTGTTGTCCATGTATAACATTCATATGACCATTGCTATCCCAACAACCAAGAAATTGCACATGGATATTTGAAGTTCATGCCTCTAGCTATATTCAGTCTTACTTTAGTATTGATGTGCAGGAAAATTTTCAAGGTTAAAAGAAATGTGTTATGTGGTATGTCGATCTTGAACCTTAAGCTTTGAAATGGTTGGATATTTTAATCACTATTGTCAAAATTAGTTGACTAATGACTGGCTGTTGCTAGCTTGAAACTGAACATAAATAAAACAGAATAAATTTAAAACATTGCTTTGCTAACAGTGATGTGTGAAACTAATAGCATCTGTTGCTATACAATAATATTTTGTAAACTTTTTTTTTAATGTTTTAATTTAGATGTTAGCTAGGAAGTGCATGACATTAGTTTTAGAATACCTAAAATATTCTAGATATTCTATGACATCAGGAATATTTAGTAACTTCGTTGAATATCTAGAAGTGAAACCTCAGTTATAAATACCAGTTAGTAAACTGAAGGAGTAGTAAGTGTCAAAGTGAAGTATTCACCTTTTGATTGCCAAGTTGTTTTTAATCAAGTGTTATTCAGTCTTTCAAGTATTTTGTTTCAGTGAAGTATTTTAATCAATGTTTGTTATCACAAATACTCAGTTGCTCGATTGATTAGCTGTGATTTGTGTGCTAAAATTTCCATTGGAACATCATTTTTAAACTTAGGCATACAAGTTACGATGTGTATAAGCTTGTAGAAATTTTAAAAAAGAAATAACCTAATTTATTATTGTAATGTGGACTGTAAATCAAATAATTTTTACAAGATAAATTAAAATAGCCCTCTCAATGAAAGAATGGCATTACAACAATGGTGTCAGAAGTGGGATGGTTTTGGATAAAGTAAAATTAATCATTTACTAAACTTTAACTTTCAAGATGATTTTATAAGGCAATTTCAGAGATTTACTGAAGTTAATGAAATAGTTAAACGAAAGTTAAGAAGAGAGAAGTGAGAGATAGGAATTTAGGAGAGGAGTTGAGAAAAAGAGATGTATTATTTAAAAAAAAAAGAATTAAAATAAAAAATAAATCTGATTACTAATTAGTATAACCCTTATTAAGGTAATGAGCACAACAAATCTTAAAATTAGAGTCAAATTTTGATAGGACAGTGCAAAATGTGAGGCTGTAAAGGCAGTACTTCCACACCAAAGAACATTAGAAGTAGTCACTTTTGGGGAAAGATGTAGGAAGTGTGTCATCAAATCCTTACATAAGGACAGCTTACTTTCTCTCAAGAACTGTATGACCTGAGTTGGTGAAGTTTTTACACCTTATAAGTGCCAGAGATTACATAACTTGCTCATGGAATATCAAGACACCTTCTTCAGTGGATATCATGACTTAGGCTTAACAAGTAAAATATCCTGCAAAATTGATACTGGAGATAAAACCCCAGTACATCAGTTAGACAGGTGACTCCTACTTGCAAAACAGGCTGAGGCCTTTAAAGAAACAGAAGTCATGAAGGAGCAAGGAGAGATAGAACAGAGTACTTGGGCACCACCTGTGAAGAAGAAGGATAGATTCATAAGTGATATCATATAAAAGACTGTTTAGTTTAGATATTATTGATTAATTTATTTTTGTGAGTAAATATGTTATTATTGTTTAGTTTTTGTTATAATAAGAGTTAAAAGCAGACGATTGTAGTTGTGTTTACAAGTCATTGATGTTGAGATTGTTGAACGTTGCATGCAATACATTGACGTCGAGAATATAGAGATTTCTAGAAGACCAGGTGACTAAGTGATAGAGATATAAATAGTGTGAGACAAGCGAAAACAGTAGACAGACAATAGCAGAAGAGAGTAAAGTTATGGGCAAGGAAAATTTTGGCATGAAGTTAACTACTATAGAAGTGATTGGCCTAATGATTGATGTAGGCCTAACATTTAATATGTTAGAGTAATACTATCAGTAAAAAAGGAGATGAAAAAAGAAGAATTATTCCATCAAAGCATGGTTCTAAAGTAATTGAATCAGCCTTGGTACATTTTGACAAAAGGAACAGAAGATATTTAGAAGATTGAAGACTAAACGATTACAGTAACTCGTGCCACAATTGTAAGTGAATCCCACATAGAATACTAGTGCGATAGTAATAGAGAAGATAGTTCGGCTTGTCAACTGAACTTCTAAAGCAATTGAATAGGCCTAAGTGGAATTTTGATGAGAAGAAGAGAACTATGTATTTATATATATATAGTGTTTCTGGTATGCCGATAATCTCTATAGTGTGAAGAATTTGTTGTATGTACGTTTCATTTGTTCCGAATATATATGTATGGTAATTTGAAAAACAAGTGAAGTGCGTGCTGTTCATTTATCACCAACGAGTCGTAGTATATATATTTATACTATGAAGAAGTAAAAGCCTTTTTAATTGACAATTGGCAACCAAACCATAACATCTAACAATAAGGTTTTGCACGGACTACCATTTCTTGGACTCTGCTCTCACTGTTTATTGTTTTGTAAAAACCATTCTCTGACATAGCTCATCCTCTACCCAAATTGCTTGAAAAGCCCAATAAGTTTTATATGACTCCTGATTGTGAATAATAATTCAACAAATTGAAGGAGGAATTGACCACTACTCCTTTATTGGCATACTCAACTGTGGAAGATCACTCATTTTAGATACAAATGCTAGTGATTTTGCAGTGGGAGCAGTTTTGTCACAAGTACAACATGGAAAGGAACATGTAATTGTTTATTATAGCAAGGCAATAAATGCCACAGGAAGTAGATATTGTACAACTCTGAAAGAGCTAATTGTTCTTCAAACCCTAAGTCATTACTATAAGTAGGCAAAAGTTTACATTTCAGGCAGGTCATGTGGCATTGAAATGACTGGTGAAATTTCACAATTCTGAAGGACAGATAGCAAGATGTGACAAAAGCCATTAAAAATTCAGCTAAGCTTGTTGATGTGTTTCCCGTGGAAATAGAGTTTGAACTGGAAGTAATATAGACAATTCTCTGTACAGACATAATATAATACATCATTTGATAAAGAAAAACTTTGGCTTTGTTGGAGAGAACTATTGGCAAGTTCTGATGAAAACATTATAATGAGTAATTTACATTAAATTTTGAATGTAACTGTATGAAAGGTTGTGACATGCACACTTTGACCTACTTGAGGTTAAAGGGTTAATCATGTGGTACTATCACATGGCTTTATTTTCATGCAATTTATTGTCATTGACGAAACCTGTTAGAAGTTGATTGTGGACAGCTGTGTGCAAACTGTATGCTTTTTATTTTGTAATGGTACAAAGTGTGAAGCAAAGTACTTGTTCTTACTGTACATATGTGGTGTTTTGCAGTGCGTATTCAGTACCTGGGGGGGTCAAATCTCATTTGTTTCATCAACTTCTCATGCATACAGGACCTAAGAGTTCCAGTTAACTAGAATCCTTGCAGTGAGTTTGATGTCTGACCATGTGTGAATATATTGTTATTTTTTAAATAACCAATGGTAAAATGTTTTCAACTCAACTTTATGAAATGAACTATGAAATAGAGGCTAATGAAATATGTTTACATCATCTGTCTTAACTAGTGAAGGAAAAGATGATATTAAGTCAGCCTCATGTTTTTTTTCTTTTAATTCTTATTCACCTCATTTTTGCATATCCAACACAGAACAACCATTACCTCCTGGTGTTACTTCCACTCGACCACCACACCTTGGTCCAGCTGGTAAGTTCCTGTTAGATTTGCTATTCAAGTAGTTTATTGTTTGAAAAGTTGTGTGTGTGTACACAGCACATACTGGATCAGATGTTTTTTGTGAGCAGTCATTGTATTACTTTATTATTATTGTTAATTTTATAAAATCTCACTCTTCATGAAATAATTTTAAAATTTGCCTAACATGAAGCTATTCAGCACATAACTGTCTTCACTTCAGTTACCTCCCTAGACTACTTACAGTTATTTTAAATATGCATTCAGTAATGAAAAGAGCAATTCAGATGTGTTGTAATTCAAATATGAGATATTTCTAGACAACTAAATTCTATGGTAAATAATTTTCTTTCCTTTCTTTTCTTTTTTAAGATTTATTTTGAATTTTTTTTTTATTGCTTTGATTTGGGGGAGGGGTCCAAAGGGGCAAGTAAAAAAAACATATATGATATTTGGAGCTCCTTGCTGGCTGATTACTGGTAGTTTACCTTCCATAGTTGTACCATAGCCATAGAGGAGGGTTATAGTTGTTGCCAAGGGAATGAAGTCTTTCTGTATTTTCCTAGACATGCAGCATAATTCTGTGACATTTTATGTTAACTTAATTAGATAGATTTGAATCAAAAAGCACTTACGTGGTTATCAGATGTCAATCATTCTCTTGGTAAGTTTTGATTTATAGCCTTTATGACACTTAGATGTATTGTGATTATTCATAATAGTGTTGGGTAATCTTATCGTTACAAAACTTTAGGATGGACACACATCAAGGTATGAGGGAAAAACTCATGGGCATTAGGGAAGATCAGCACCTCTGTAGAGCATGATCACCACAAACAACAAGAGCAGCTGATTTTGAATACTTAAAATTTTAGTTATCTTTGACCATTCATCTGAAAGAAGTTTTTGTTGTTGTTGTTTTTTCTTTCAAGGGCATATTTAGAGTCTGTCTGAAGCCAGGACTCATTGCACCAGAATATGATAATATAAAGGGTTGTAAAATATGGCTACTATCATGTGTGGCAATAATGGTGTCATTCCACAGAATATATAGATTAGTATGTTCAGTAGATGTATTGCTGTTCACCATATTTCCAAAACTAACATTTTTCACATTCTTCAATGAATATAAGCCTGTTAACCATTACATTATGGGCTGGGTGGAATCCAGCTTGTTACCACGAAAGTATTCATGAGAGGAATTATACTATGATTTTTGGTAATGTATGCACATCTTTACAAAATTTTGCAGGTTCCTGGTAAAATTACAAGGTTTTTGTCAAACTATCAGGTTTTTAAATTAAGTATGACAATTTTTTTAATTAAAGATTTTCTCATAAACCCTTTTCTTTCAGAATGTTGACTATTCAACATGCAAAGCAATTTTGATTTTAAGATTAAAAATACTTTAATACATTAAAATATTTTCAAATTTCACATGTAAAATCTTTATAAAATCAAAATAATTATGAACTTTTTTTAGAAAAAACTTTGTTTTATATGTTATTTTCAGTACTGCATTTCTTGTACGTGTTGGTTCAATTTGACCGACTTCATAATCTCAATAAGAAAGTAGGAAATAAATTTAAATTATGCTTTTTTCGTTCTAGAATGCCTATGAATTATAACACAAAAACACAAATGTTTAGTCTAAATAGCTTAAATCTCATAACATTATACATTTATATATATTTATTATTTTTATTATATTGACCTTCCAGCCATGCCTGGCTAACAATACAGAAGTTACTACGACACTATGCATGTGCACTTGTATTACCATATCCAAGAATATATATATAACTGACCTTTAGTCTTTACAAAGTGACATGTCTTGGCTGTGTTTTTGTAGACCAGTATTTTGTAAAATACAGTCACATTTCAATTATTATACATTAGATATGTATATACATTATTATTATTTACAAATAAGTTCTTAAACTTATTTTTCTTAAAACATAGAACAGTAAATAAAAAAGTAAAGCAAACAATTATCTCTTCTAGTTACAACCTTTGTACTTGTTTGCCACTTGTCGTAAGTTGCTAAGCCTTATGAAATTTTCCACGTGGAGGATGTGAAAAGAAATTTTTTTGGTTTTATGTATTCGTTTTAAATAACCAAAATATTGTAAATTGCTATATCAATACTGTAGAATTCCACTATAATTTATCAAGTGTAGTAACTAAGCTGTATTTGGGTCTAAAAAAATATGAAATTTCGTGTTCACTAAAGACTTACCTTATTGTTTGAAATCTTGTGTGAAAAGAACGAAATTAACACAATAACACATCAAAATGGATGATAAAACCACTAGGGGGACATTCTGAGCTTGCGATTGGTTAATTATGTTATATATAGAGGTAAGTGTATATAAGGGACCATTTCCAAAAATGGAAAGAGGTGGGTGGGGGACCGCTGTGTTTGATTCAGTGCATGAGCGAGATCTTAGCAAATAGAGAAGATAAGAGGTTCTTATTTTATATTCTAGCTTTTCAATATCAATAATTTGAGTTCCTAATTCGTACGAAACTATAGATTTTGTATTTTGGCATCACAAACATCTATTTTGAACCAGTGATGCATTCAACATACCATGTGACACACAAAAATTGATGTGTAACTGTATTTCTTTTAATATTTACTGTGAAACCCAAGCAACTAAATATTAAAAACCATACAGATATGAATTAATATATATGATATATATGTGGTGTATATATATATATATATAATGTAATTTAAATATGATTATTAATAATCACATACATCCAGTTTCTCTAACAGCTGGCAAAAGACAAAGAAAAGAAAAATAGTCAATGTTTCACTGTTTTACATCTTATGAATCAGATGCATTTTAAAAAGCACTGCATCTACATCTTTATGCCGTTTCTGCGAAATTGCTCGTCTAATGTAGATATAATGTTAAACTATAGATTTAAATGTATTTAAATTATGCAAACAATTAGGTCATCAGCACATTTTATCTTGCATTCTCTGTATGTGAATCCAAGAGTTATTATTCTTTACTGTTACCTGTTAAATAAAAGCAAAATCTTAAACATTATAATGTACTTATTTGTGTGGGACTGAGAGGAGGCAAGTAGATTTTTCTAACATTTTATCCATTGAACAAGAAGTTTTTCTCAAAAATTCCATATCCTAAACATTCTTTTGATTTCCATACGAGTATAACATCCGTGTCTTTTTTTTTAGCTGCAGCACAGCAGCTCATAGAATGGCTCAGAGTTTTGTTTTTTGTCAAGGACAAACTTTTAGTTCATAGGTCTATCTAATTACAGTCATAGCTATTGAGGATTCTCCCTTGTTTTCTGATCTAATTGTTGTCCATAAACAACTTTGAGCACTTTAAATTCTGTGACTCACTTCTGATTTACAAGTGAGATAAGATTGTGTGAGATCATTAAGCACAAAATAGGCTGAATGACCAATGATTATACATCTCATGTCACATAACTGATGACAAACTGATTTACAAGTAATATTATTTTATAGCGGTTTTTCACAGTTTAATATCACAAACTCTGATTATTTTCCACTTGCATTTAACAGTGTATTTTAATTATTTTTGTTTCTTTGTTTCACCAGGAATATGGGGTAGTGACCTCATTTGTTTATCTGTGAGAACTAATCATTATTTGTTTCTTCAGTAACATTTTATACCTGTACAGGTAAACTTTACAAAAACCTAACTATCTGAACGCTGTATTCCTTTTATTTCCATAGTGTCTCACCCTCCACCAGGAATGCCACCTACTGCTGCTCCTCCTCCACACAGGCCACCACCTCCTGGTATGTATTCTTTACTCTTACTGAATTGAAAGAAAACTTGTTCATACAAATATATATATTATTTGAAGAATCTGTCTTTAACATTTCACATTAGAATGAAACAGTTTTATTGACTCTGTAACTTATTGTATGTGCATAACCTTGGAAAGCAATCAAGAATTACAAAATCTTGTTTTAAACATTGGCTTTATTTTTATAGAATATAAACTTTCTATTTTCAGTACCCCTTCCAGGACATGGGATGCCTCCTAATATACCACCACCCTCAAGTCATCCTCCAGCTCCACATGTTAATCCAGCCTTCTTTCCTCCACATAGCCAGCCCCAAGGCATACCCTCTGGACCTCCTCCATCATCTCAGCCTGGAGATATGTACAGCCGACCTCTACCCAGTCAGTACCCAGATTACCGAGGACCTCCACCTGACAGGTATGTTGTAACTGGGTAAACTTTCAGATTAAAACTCAATGTTTATAGTGAATAGAGATTATTACAAGAGGTATTTCAGAATGTATATTTAAGTAGAAACAAAACAATATATTAACATGCCTGTACATGGCTTATTCTGAAAATTGTTGAATATTTGCACAGAACAAATGGTGTGTCTGTATTATATATATATATATATATTAAAAAAAACTGTATGTGTACTGAAAAAGCAAGGACATTTGTATCTAGTGTGTCCTAGAAGAAATAAACCAAAGCTCTGTGAATGATATAATAGTATTTGATTTTTTTTTTCTACTTAATAACATTTTTTCCAGTTTTTTCACTTTTTTGTTTTATCAATTCTCAGTCCTCCCTGCTACATATTATTATTAAGATATTTGGTATTTTTAAGTGTGAAATGTTTCCAGTCAGAGGGAGTGTTGTTTGGTTTTTTTGAAACTTTATTATTTGGAGTTTTAAGTGTGTATGGATTTTTGTTTACTTAAGGCTGTTTATCTATGTTATTTGCAGAAGGTTAGTAGGTATTGTTGGACATAGAATCGTAATGTATAATTTTCAGAGTTAAATGAAGTACTATGTAACAAGTAATTTTTAACATTGCCACAGACAGGATCATCAAACTCCACCTCTCAGTGAAGCAGAATTTGAAGAAATTATGAACAGAAACCGCACTGTCTCAAGCAGTGCCATCGCTAGAGCAGTGGCAGATGCTAGTGGAGGTTGGAAATAATTTATAATGATAATAAATATGTTTGCAACATTTAATTAAATTTCAATTTTGGTAGTAATGATGAGCAACACAATCGCAGAAGTGACCAATAATATTTGTTGAACATTTCAGAATACAAACAGATTCCTACTGTAAATACAAAACAGTTATCACGAATAACAGCATCAATCTTGAACATAAATCTTTTATACAACCACAAACAAACAAAGTAAGCAATAAAATGAAACTTTCTAAGAGTATATCTGGGTCTTTTTCTGATCAACTTTGATTAAAAAATAATAGTAACAGTACTAATAGGTAGGTATACAATAATTCACAAGCATAAGGAAGAATTTTATTCATGGTGGAACTTACTACATATTTCGACAGAACATTGGTCTGCCTTCTTCAGGTATCAAGATGACAGCAGGTGTAAAGGAAAATAAGAAACTCTATAATGAAATATTGTAGGAAAATATTTATATTGATCTACCTATTTGATACAACTTGATCTAATAAAGTCAAATAGCAGAAGTCTCCTAAATCATAACAATTAGTGTAAAGTATCTTTAGGTTATCAAGTGCTTCTAGTTTATTCAGTGCTGAAACACTGGTTTCTCCATCTACATTCATACAACCTTGTGTGTATCTGCATTACAAGCATCCAGGAGTCGAAACTTGTAGTTAAGAGTTAATATATTACTGTGCAGTTGTATCAAACATGCATTTCTTTATGTGTTCCATTTTTATTTATTCAACTTCTTGTTATCACATATGAAACTAAAACTAACTATTTAAACATTTTGAGTATCTGGTGTTATGACCAGTTTTGTGTAAAACAAAATTTATGCAAAGCATATAAAATTGTATGTGTATATTACTAAATATTTTGAGATACTCATAGAAAAGAATAGTTTAAAATATCTTTATGTATTGTGTTGTTATAGGTAAGTGAGTAAAATGAGTATTCAAATATGAGGTTATAAATTTTGTTTTGTTACAGGGGATTATGCTAGTGCTATTGAGACTTTAGTGACAGCTATTTCATTGATCAAGCAGTCTAAAGTAGCTAATGATGACCGTTGTAAGATCCTGATAAGCTCTTTGCAGGACACTTTGCATGGAGTGGAATCTAAGTCCTATGGATCACGGTAAGTATTGTAAAGAGTAAAACAATACTACGGGGGGTTACTTTTATAACTAAAATTTTCATAAATTATTCCTGAAAATTATTGGATCATTAATCCTGAACTCTGTATGTGTTTTAGATCAATGGTTAGTTTCTTTATTGCATCTCATCAGTTAAATAATTTAAGATTTTTGTAGCAGCAAAGATCGCCCGAGGTCAAGAGAAAGAGACCGCTCACATGAGAGGTCATCTCGCAGAGAGAAATCAAGTCGCCGTGATCGCTCTCGAAGCAGAGAAAAAGAATATAGAGAAAGAAACCGTGATTGTGATCGATACTATGAAGATCGGCACAGCAGAGACAAAGAAAGGGATAGAGATCGAGAACGTGAGCATAGAAGTAGCAGGCATTAAATGTAAGTTGTTTGAGAAAGGTTATTATTGTATAGTGTAAGTTTTAAGTTTGACTTTAAGGACAAAATATATTTTCTTTTTCTTTTTGACCTTAGATAATATTTTAATTTCTTATTGCTTAGATAATATTTCATGACAAGTCATAACAATGTATAAGACCAAGATATAAATCACAGCCAGAACAAAATGCTAAAATACCAAAGAACGTGAAGTTTCTTATTTTTCGCTTTCTCCTTATACCTAAGAATATCCAGTGGCCTTTGTTATTTTTAATGATTTTTGCAATTATTCCTGTTGGTAACTTAGCAGTTGACTGTCAGATGTATAGTTCAGGATCTTAGCATTCCTGTAACTTTTGATGGTTGTCAACAATAGGACATTACCAACAGCTGTCACGTCGAAATCTTGAAGAGAACAATCAGAATTTAACAGAGGAGAAAAACATAACAGTTATTAGTTAATTAAAAAATACAATAACAGAAACTTTTACACTAGACAAGTTGATTTTAACAAGTTCTAATATTAATATTAGAACTTGTCTACCTTAAAAATTTCTGTTATTGTATTTTGAATTAATTATTCAGTTTGGTAAGTTCTTCACTTAACATTGATATCAGTTATTAGATTTTGACTTATTAAGAATTATTATTAGAGCTACAAAATATTGTATCGAAATGTTGTTAGTTTTTTTCCCTGTGCAAATTAGCTGTTGAAATATTGCATATCTTATCATTATAAAGACGTCATGGCATTTATCTTCCAGATAAATTCCTGATATTAATAAAGAAGTTATTGTATTACTCCCTAGACCTCCTGCTGGTGTCTTATTCAATACAGGCTGAGCTGTCCTCTAGATTGTGGTAAATATAAACTGCTCATTTTCTTTTCCAGCATTGCCTTCTAACTAAAGTGGAAGTATCACTAGAGAAACTGTTTCTGTCACTGGGAGAGGAGGAGTTTGTCTCTCACACATCATGATCTGTGATTCCTTCAAGTCAGGAGAGACATGGGCTGAAACTAAATCTATAGGATGCAGATTAATTAGCTCACTGTAATAAATAATAGAAATCTTGTAAATGTTTATAGATTTTATTATTCTAGGTTTAAGCCAACATATTAATGTTTCGTGAAGTTCTGATATACTTTTATATGTTCTACTTTAAAAGTGAAGATGTTGTTGGCCTTCATTTTTGTTTTTAAGATCTTGAAGAAAATGAAATAGTAGTTACTGAAATTTATGTACTCTTGAAGCAAAGCATTGCAAGTATGTACACAGAAATCACAAATCTATTTTCCACACTACTAAAATTTGTATAAGGTTTGATATTGTTCTGAAAAGAGCTAAGAAAATTAAAATTTATATGTTGTATTTGCTGTTGCTGACATCAATTATATCCTAATACTTGTGTCAAGAAACATTATTTCTGTCTTTGCATTACACTACACCAAAGCTGTGGCTACAATCCCTTTGTAATTATTTTTCTGAAACTTATATTAAGGAAATCAATTAGCTCCATTTTTGCCCATAAATTTAAAGATACACGCACACACACTCTAATGTACAAACACACGTTAGTTTCTATTTGGCAGTAAACAAAGTGATTGGCATGATATGCTGCTTTTGGAAAAAATCCATATTTTTAAATTTTTTTTCTCAGACTTTATACTACTTGGAACTGATTTAGCACTGTTTAATGCAATAAGAGTAAGAAAAATGTTTTTATATCAGTTTTAGGTTTTGTAAGTAATATATATGAGTATGTCTAAGCTACATTAGAGATTACACATGTATATATCTCAGAAAAGATGTTTCAGGCCATGTCTCTCCATCCTGCTGCAGTAGAAGCCTCTTTCTTGTGGTTGAAGGATACAAAGCTTCTTTTTGTAAAATCTTGCATGGGTGAAGTTAAGTTTCACTGTAAAACATTAAACTATTAAATATATCTTTTGAAAAGTTAACATTTCAAAAATGTTCCTATTCCACCAGTCTGATGAGTACCTGCAAATAAATGTCATGCATTGTGCATTGATCGTGGCCTTTACTAGAAGAAATGTACTCAAAAATAAGAGAGCATTATGAATTTTTATCAGTTGCCCAGTGAATGTTTATCTCAAACTCAGGCTACCAGTTGCCTATGATTTTTACATGGATATGGATAAACTAATTATTGTGTAATTCATTATATTTGTACAGTTTTTATATAACACTTCTAAACAAATAGTTTGTTTACAAGCTTGGGTAAAACTCGACTGTGATAATTTCTACTTGGGAATGTGTTTTCACAATTTTTACAATTAGTATTCTGATATTGTTATTTGAGGGTGGGGGGGTAATAAAAGTTATTTATTATGAAATGATTAAATTTTTTTTTTCAATGTTGATATTAAAAACTTTTTTTTTTTTTTGTTGTTGTTATATCGTTTATTGATTTGTGAAATATGTCTTCTCAAACAACTTATTGTTGCTGTTAAGAATTTTAAATTTATTTGTATTCATTTCATGAGGAAGCATTGTGCTAGGTAGTATTAAAATCATGGAACTGTTAGGTTGAAGTTAAGAGGATCCACACATATTCATAGTGTGTGATTGTGTGTTTTAGTAATTTGTATATAAACTTTATACTTGTTTTTAGTAAAGTATTTGTAAAAGCTAACAAAATGTACAGTGTTACTTAAATATAAATGTACTGATAGCATGGTGTAATCACATCTTACATCCCTGGTATTTTAAATGTAAATGAATATTGCAACCACTAAAATAATTACTAGAAATTTTGTGGTCTAACCATTATCAACGCACATTACACTTGATATACATACTTAAATACTACAATGTATTTAAAAAAGAATTTGATTTGTAAATGTATTGAATTGATCACAGTAAGAAATACAACAGGGATAGATTTTATTTTGTATTCCGTTCTTGTAACAAAAGTTGCACCTTGAAGTACATATAAAGCTAGCATGCCAAAATGAATTCCATTGTCAGGAGTAAATCTTACATTTCTAGATGTGTTTTGTGTGTGTTAGATACGATTAATAAAAAAACAGCAACATTAAACTAAAAAATTCATCACTTCTGAAACCTACTTAAATTTAATTATCAATAGCTTCAGATCAAAGCAATTTACTTGGATGACTCAGAGCTAAATATTAACCAAGTAATGATTAGTGTAACTAATTTAATATATCATTTTAGCTAGGAGAATGTAATGTTATAAAACAAAAACTTATAATGGCTAGAATGCAGTTATTCATTAGTTGAGTACACTCATTATTATTTTTTTCTGTAATCCTTATAATGATAATAATAATAAACTAACAAATAAAAAAATGTATTAAACACTTAAGCTGTTATTGTTAATGAAAATAGCATTCAATAATTGAATATAACTTACTTACAAGCCACATGAGAAGTAGTGTTTGCTTCCTACACTATCACTGATTTCTTGTCCCTGGAAAGACATGTTTAACAAAACATTAATCAACCTAAACTTCAGCTGTTTATAATGCTTGTAAATATTGGATATGAAGCTTTAAAATGCAAAATTGAAGAAAGGTTGCAATAATATTTCATGGCTTTCAAAAATAATGGCATATGTGACTATTTGTGTGATTTAACTGTATAATGCATGGCACAAGGCATCAATTTTATGTCTCTCCATTGAACCTTAGATGGTACATTTCTTTCATAGCTTCCCATAAAGTACAACTTCATTAGCAAATGTACCACTGTAATGTTTGTTTTTAGTACTACTTTTGTTAAGCCTGATAAGTTTTGCACTAGTGATGCTAGGCATGCTTTGTTGTTTGCAAGTGAGCATGATTTTTCTTTTTTGAATTTATAATGAGGTTACTAAGCTTTACAGGCTATACAAGATTTTTCTTTCTTTCTTTTTTTGTCAATACATAAATAGGCATCCTGCTATGTATTAAAAATATAAATATATTTGTAAATATGAAATTTTAAAAATTATTATTTCTAGTCTGTTTTTACAGTATGAGATCTCAAGCTTTCAAGAAATATTCCTAATATTATAAGTATGGTTTATAATTATGTATTATAACGAACTGAAAACTATTTCATATATTGTTTTTTAAAAAAATGTTACTGAGAAAATATATATTTTACTGTGAGAAGGACTTATCTTTATTTTTCTTTAACTCATGTGTTCGGTATCTTTAAATTTCCTATTAATTTAAAGATACCGAACAAATGAGTTAAAGAAAGTTTTTTATACATACCATAATGACTGTGAGGCAACAATATGAAACTTAATTAACTGTAATTTTAAAGTAACCCTACCCTGGTAAAGGTGAAAATTCAAAGTGTTTGTAATAAATTTAATTTTTGTTGCTGTTATTACCAAAGTAAAATTTAAATCATGATAAATGTGTACATTGTTTGATAAGTGAAAACACCTGCTTCACGGGAGTTACACTCATGTATGGATTGTTACCATTTTAAATGGAAAGTTCGTACTTAGATATTTAACTTTAGTGTTAAATGTAACTCAATCAAATGGCCTATAAAAACCCAAATGCTTAAAATAAATGTTAGAAATTAAAAGTTAGTAATGTTTTTCTCAAATAATCATCTTGTCCCCATAAAGACTGTGTGCCTACAACATGGATATGGCAGTTGTAGTGTTGTTGACAAAAAAAATACACACTCTTCTTTACTTTCATTAGTATGTTCTTAGAATTTACTTTCTTTCTCATACATCTGTGTTAATCCATGTTTTATATCTTCAACAAGTGAGTTTGTTAAGTACGTTTTTATACTGTATTTCTCTAGAGCTTGCATTAATGCATCTTTTTTTAATATTTTTTTGGGGGGGGGGGGGGTAATAGACTGAAAGTATAAGTGCTGACTTGTTTAGGAGTAAATTTGATGTGTGCTTTGTTGTTTAATTTGTTCCTGTAAAGACTTTTACTTTTGTGTGTTTAGTCTAATTTTAGCCCCCTCCAATGATACAGCGGTATGTCTTTGGACTTATAA